CCTATGCACCTAGAATCTGGAACAGTCTTCCCGAAGGTGTGAGACAGGCTCCTTCTTTAGCTATGTTCAAGTCCAGGCTGAAAACGGTTCTTTTCAGCCGTGCCTACGACTGATCATCAAGAAATCATATCATTAATTTAATTTTGATGTATATATTTATTCATTTTCTTAAACTGTCTTTTGTATTTGTTTTTACAGTCTGTTTTTAAATTGTTTATAAATTGCTTTTAAATGTTGCCGATGTGAAGCACTTTGGGTTGCATTCTGTATGAACTGTGCTATAGAAATAAACATTGATTGATTGATTGATTGATTCTGCGAGTCATGGGCATGGATCTATTATAATAACTGGATAGGGTATTACTAGCTTGTAGCTGAATAACTCATGTGCTCGGGGGATTCTCGCGGTACTGCAGACTGAACCAGACTAAATTCACGTGGGCTACCAAAAGATTTTCCCCATAGAACTCAATGCATATTAAAACAGCGCGACCTCAGCTGACAGAGAACCTACAGCTTTAATAAAGGTTGCATTTTGTGGGGATTTTAGTGTCCCTTGTCATCCTGAACTTTTTTTCTTTAAATCCACACTTTAGTGCCACAAACTCTGCTCCTCTGGCTCTGGCTCTAACTCCCGCTCTGATGAACTGCTCTGATTGGTCAGAGCGCGGCCGAGCCCCTCTGTGCACGTGCGTGAGACCTGGTGTGAGACCCACACACGCGTGTTTGGCCCAACGTATTATGGGAGATCATCCACTGCGCAGAACCGGGAGGACCAGACGATGCCCAAATACAGGCGAGTTTCCCATAGATCTTTGCGAGTTTCAGGCGACTTCCGCTAATCTTTCAGCCCCCATGCCATCACAAAGCGCCACTGAGCACAACCATTCATTTGAATAGGGCGCCATCTTGGATCGCCGGGGCTTGGTCATGGGAGAGATTGTAGATTGTGGGAGGCACACACGAACTATTTCGGACTCCCGACTCCCTACGCTCGTCTCGTCCCAATCACGGGCGCATCGTCTGAAGTTGTCCCACCCAGCTTCCGTCAGTTTTTCACAGAGTTTTGCTGTGGCTGGTTCTATGCGCATGATGCATTTCAAAAGCGGCCAAGCGTACATTTATAATAATAATAATAATGCATCGGTTTTATATAGCGCTTTTCTGGACACTCAAAGACGCTTCACATGTGTCATTATTCATTCACTCCATACACGGTGGTGATAAACTACTGCTGTAGCCACAGCTGCCCTGGGGCACACTGACAGAAGCGAGGCAACCAGTATGCGCCATCGGCCCCTCCGACCACCACCAACCATTCACACACACACCAGACTCATTCTAGGCAATGGGGGTGAAGTGTCTTGCCTAAGGACACAACGGCAGTTTGGCACTTTACAGCCGCAACCGCCCCACTGTGGCTGGTGTTCCCAGAGGTTAAGTGTCTTGCCAAGGACACAACGATAGTAGTCAGTGGGAGTTGATGGTGAAGGTCTTGAGCGGGGCTTGAACCCACGACCTTCTGGCTCAAAGGCCAACGCTCTACCAACTGAGCTACTGCCGCCCATTTCTGCCTCAGACGACGGTGGTGATCCACAACAAGCCTCGCACGCCATGTTTGTTGACATAAGTGATTTTCCCGGAAATGCTCGATAATACGCGTCTCCTATTGGCTGAGCAGTGACGGTTTACAACCTTTTTCGTCTCCTTATACGAGAAACAATATACAATAATATACAATAACTGCTGGAATTCGAATAGAGAACCTTTGGTTATGTTCTGTATGTTAGACAAGCTATCGCATGATCCGCTCAGATTTTCATGCCCCGAGCTTGGAACGAAACAACGCAATTTCTGCCTCAGCAGACGGCCTATAGCAGACACCACTGGAGACAGCGAACAACAGCACGGTGATTCAGACGGCGTTTGAGGCGTCGCGGCGAAATGAAAAGATATATTTAGATTAGGGATGTCCAAGTTATCGCGTTAACGCATGATAATTAATTTTTTTCATTAATCGGGTTAAAATAATTAACGCTTTTAACGCATGTGCCAAATGACTGGCACCCCGCGTGCGTATGACCGGGGGGCAATTGCTGTGAATGGGTCTGCAGCGTTCTGGGGCAGCTGCGGAAGCTTTGGACAGCGGTTCCCGCGTCCTGCATCTGTGAGCGGCTTTCGTGAGCGGCTTTCAACAGCACGGGAGCACGCAGCCGTACATGGCCATGTACCCAAGGCCTTATACACGCACAGGACCATGTACCCAAGGCCTTACACACGCACAGGACCATGTACCCAAGGCCTTATACACGCACAGGACCACTGTGTGCACTGATCACGCACAGGACGCACAATAAAAACAGCGCTGCAAGAAACAGTCCGTCTCCCCTTAGTCTTCTCCCGAAGCGAAAAAAAGAAGCTAAATTAAAGCTGGGGTACCTAACTTTTTCTTTGCACTACCATTTCATGTTGTTTTTGCCCAAAGTGAAATGTTGTGAGCAAATCAAACAGATTTAATGACAGCCACTGGCTGACATGCATTTCAGACTTTTTTCAAATGTCCCATTCTCATCCCTGTAACAAAGAATAGTTTGTAGAACCACAATAATGAAGAGGATCCACAGCCTTTAGGAGACAGAGAAGAAGAAAGAGGAGGCTTTACCAGATGCGGAATATGTTGAGCTGAAAAAATAGTGTCTACTACAGAAAAACAGAATGTTAATATTGTTAATGCCATTTTATGTGGATTTATTGTTAAAATAAACAAATACAGTACATATGTAAACTATGTTGTCATTTATCTTTCCATTCAAACAAACGTTTACAGAAATAAATGGCATAATTTTGCCGATAGTTTGAAATGTGATTAATTACGATTAATTAATTTTTGAGCTGTAATTAACTCAATTAAAAAATGTTATCGTTTGACAGCCCTAAATTAGACATATCAGCTTCACCTCGAAGCACTGAGGATTCATCACACTCAAAAACAAGCCTTGAAAAGTTTTTAAAAACTGAAGCGGGACTATAAAAAACTCACACAACAACCACAACAACCGGAGCGGTCACAAATGTAAAATAAACGAATGGGTTTTGTGCATGGATCTATAATAATAACGGGTTTGGCGTAATGAGTTTTGCTTTTGCAGCGATCGAAACTCATGACGTCGCCGAGTGGTCCTGCTCTGCAGTGGAGACACGGACACTGAGAAGACAGAGGGAGAGGAAGGTTCCTGTAAAAGTTCCACCCCACTCCTTTTACCAGGAACTCCTGCGGTGAACGCGGCTATTTACTTTAAGCTACCGCGGGCCAGCAATGAAGATTCTGAAGGCCTAGGCCCTAGAGGCAGATTTTGGGGCATAGCAATACATGATGCTGAGTAATGATTGGTTGAAAACTCTTTTAGTCGCCAGACCTCCCAAACGTCAACCTGGAGTTGGAAGCTGCTCAACCAACGTGGTGGCAGGATCCGCCACTGCTAGCAAGTATTAACGTAAAGGCAGAAATGTAGCTTTCTGTTCTTTAAAAGTATTGTGAGATTTCATAACACTTTGAAGCAACTTTTGTTAAAGTTAAACTCATCATTCTATCAATGTGCAGAAGCCAGTACTTTTCCCTTGTTTTGTCTATCTGAAGGCCAAGCTACATGGCACCGTGGCAGCTGCTGATTGGAGGTCTCCATGCCTCCGCTCTGTATAATACACTTGCATTCTGTTGTATCTGTGATCGTGTGCTTTGTTCGTGCTGTCTCTACCATCGACAATAAAACATGTCTTCTGTCGGAATGTAAGACACGATCCCAGACTTGGCTCATCTTCTTCAGTATCTTACAGATATGAGTAGGTGTTGGTGAGAAAACGGGTTTCAAACCGAGGACCGAAGTTCAAGACCTATAGACCAGACACAGACCTGGTCTTGCCGCCACTTATGGGGCCAAAGATGGCATCTCCAGATACGCCACGCTACGTTTGTGGAACTAATTGTGGTTAGTTTTCTTTATATCCACATGTGGATATAAAGAAAACCAAAGGATTTAAGAAGGAAAAAAGTTCAGGATGACAAGGGACATTAAAATCCCCACCAAATCCGACATTTATGAAAGCTGTAGCTCAGACTGCCACCCCCTGACCCAGAAATGGATTAAGGGCAAGAAAATGGATGGATGGGCATTATCTGGTCCTCCCGGTTCTGCAGAGTGGACGAGCTCCTATGCGTTGCAGCAAATAAGCGTGTTGCATTAAAATGTGGAGTTATAGAAGACCAAAGGATTTAAAAGACAAAAAGTTCTGGATGACAAGGGACATTAAAATCCCCACAAAATCCGACCTTCATGAAAGCTGCAGGTTTTCTGTCAGCTGAGGTCGAGCTGCTTTAGTTTACATTGAGTTCTGAGGGGAAAATGTCTAGGTAGCCCGGTTGAATTTAGTCTGCAGTACCACAGCGCCCCCTGTGCCCATTGGTGGGACAGCTATAAGCTAGTAATACCCTATCCAGTTATTATTATAGATCCATGCACAGGATTCTCCCGGATGAGGCAAGGCAAGGCAAGTTTATTTATATAGCACAATTAATCACAGAACATTAAAAAGAAAGATAAAAATATAAAATCCCTCAGTTGTATGCACAGCTAAACAGAACTGTCTTTAACCTGGTTTTAAACATTGTCAGAGAGGAGGCCTGTCTCACATCTTCAGGAAGACTGTTCCAGGTTTTAGCAGCATGAATCTGAAAAGCAGCCTCAGAGCAGGAGGAAGTGGATGGAGAGGGAACTCTGGACTTAACATTTTTCTTGTGGTTTAAAAGTCACGTATTTTCATGATTGAGGCCCGGTGGATAACCAATCAAACACCCGTGTGCTGGTCCCGTGACCGGAAGCGACACGTGACCTGAATAAATTGCACCAAGCGGAAGTGTTTGGGCGCCATTTGGAGCAGCGGCTGTCGGGGGAGGCGCAGAGAAGCTCTGCTGACAAACCGGCGTGTACCCCCGCCTCGGCTGGATGGAGCCCCCCGTCAAGCTGCCCCACAACACGTAAGGGCTGCCTGCTTTTACCCGTCCCTGGGGACTGCTTCCCCCGCAGAGAAACAGCCAGGAGCGACCGTTGCTAGCCTCCGCTGTTGGCTTTGGATGTGTTAGCTAGCATTTTTTCCCGTTTGCTGCTGGCGATTGGATGCTCCGTTTACAAGTGTTTATAGTCTGCAAGAAGCTATTACAGTGGGTAAATGACCACAGATGTTTATAATCTACAGCTGGATTTGAGCTGTGCACGGGGCTTGTTTGCTCATTCATTTCACTGGCGCCGTGACAGCTGTCAAACAAGACCATTGGCGTTAACCTGATTTGTGCTGCTCCATAGAAATGTATTTTAATCCTATTGTGTGTAGCATATTGCGCTTCACACTGATCTAACCCGCAATGCACAGACCCGTTTGTGTGTATATTCAACAATAAATGAATGAACACTGATTTCCGGAGTACTTTGTCCATTTTAGTTGTCGGGAGATTATTTTAAATGTATTGGACAACTGCAATCAAATAGTTCTTTACAAATCAGATCTGCGCTTTTGAAGACAACTACGTCAGGAAGCAAATTGTGAGTGTTTTAATTTTCCCCCAACTCATACCGTGTAACCGCTGTACATAGTGGGATTCCCTGCAGCAGACTCTGACATAAAGACCACATACATGATAACACAGCATTACTCTCTGTAGACAGTTGTTTACATACGGGAGGGTGGAGACTTGACCCACGCGCTGCACAGACTGCCTCATTCATTCACTATTACGTAATAAGTAGTATTGTGGTCATCATCCCTTCATAACTGCACGACAGAACAGAGTGCAACTCTGCGGTGTTTATGGGGAATATTGGTCTTTTTCTTAAAGCAGAAGTTGCGCAACATCACTGTGACTTAAATATACCCTTAGCAATACTTTGTCTCTTACTATTTAGAGAAAATGAGGTTACAATTGATTTTTAATCTTTCATTAGAAATGCTAGATGTATTTAATGCTTAATTTATCTGTGGTCACATTCATTCAACATGTGAATTCAACATTCATTCACATTCATGAAACGATGTAAATATGAAAATGTAATTGGGGTAAGCTCCCACAAGTATTTTACTTCGGCTTACTCCCTTTGAGCTGTGTCTACTTTTTCTTGAAATGTTTTCCTATTGGATTGTTTTTTGTTTTGTATGACCTGCTCAAATAAATTGATTGATTCACTCCATACACGGTGGTGATAAACTACTGCTGTAACTACAGCTGACACGACCAACAATACGCACACACACCCACCAGACTCACTCTGATGTGGATGAAGTGTCTTGCCTAAATACACAACAGGCACAGTGGCACCTGATGTTCCCAGAGGTCTCTCATCACAGTACTAACCAGGCTCTGTCCTGCTTAGCACCAGAGGTCTGACATGATCTATATTTTATCTGCAGGTAGTGCCACTCAAATTAAAGGGTCAATAATAGACATTGTGCATCTCACTTTTTAGCATTGTATTCTTCTAAGCAAGTAATCAAGTTTCAGCCCTGAGAGCATTGTGCCTTTGTCCTGTCTAAAAAAAAAAGTAAAATCACAGATCTATCAGTTTTTAATCTTCTGTACGGCGTGTACATAGTGTTGCGTCTCTACAGTTCTGTGTTCTTTGGGATTCTTGTATCACAGGTAGTAATACTAATATTATTGTTTTACTAAATGTTCATAATGGTAAAATGCTGCTATTTGAAACACAAATCTTGTGTCAATCACACTGTCAGAGAAATCAAAACGGAATAATAGCATTTGTTGTGGAAATAAAATGATTGAATAAAAAATAAATTTCTCCCTTTCTCCCCCTTTTTCTATACCTTTACTGCCAGTTCTACTACTCTACACAATCCGTATTACTTGCCCAGCTTCTCAATACAAACCTCTCCCAAAAATAGGAAGTCATCTCACATTAGTCCAGTTCTCAGGTCTCTGCACTGGCTTCAGTGCCTCAAATAATAGATCTTAAAGTGATTGCAGTTTGTCAAAAAGAAAGACAGAGAGGTACTTGATTTGAAAAAAACGACACAAGCTCCCTCCCCCTTCCTTTCTGATTGGTCTACACCTACATTTCCGTAACACATTTAAATGTTAATCAGAGAACACATTATATATATACATTATTAATACACATGCACAGAGGTTTTCAGAATTATTTGTTAACGTTTTCATGAAAAAAAAATGTTTTAATGCACAAAAAAAACGATCGCGGCAAACCCGAAAGTAGCTATTATTATTAATTGCACATTATAGGACACATCTGCAGAGGATCTGATTATGGATATAAGTTCAGGATATAAATGATTATGGATATAGGTTCAGTATATAAATTGGTAACTCAGCGGGGATGTTCAGAATTCTTTGTTCAGTTTTCATGTAGTTCCAGAGCCTAATAGAGGCTTGATTTGGAGGCTCTGTGAAAACAAACAACTGAGCATGCGCGCAGCTGCGAGCATCAGCGCTGATGATTGACAGCCCTTGGCATCAATTGATTGGTTAACGTGGACGGCATCGTGGATTCTGAACTATAGCTAAGAGAAGGGAAGGCGGGACTTACCCGTAATATTAGAAGGAATAACATGACTTATTTCATATTGACATTTAAGGCCAGGAGGTCAATTTAATACAATTCTTAAAATTTTTAATTCATTTAGCGCTACAGACTATCACTTTAAAGCAGTTCTGCTTGAGTATGAGTCTCCCCATGGCTGTGCACCAAAGTGCATCAGTGACATGTTAGTGCCATATACACCAACTCGGACTCAGGGACTGGCCTCCTGTTGGTGTCCAGAGTCAGGAATACACTTGGGGAGACAGACTTTCAGATGTATGCTGCTAAAATCTTGACCAGTCTTCCTGAAATGTGTTTTTTTTTACTCTGACAATCTTCAAATCCAGGTTAAAAACTGTTCTGTTTCACTGCAACAACTAAAGAATCTTCACTCTTACGGATGTAGTGTTGATTATTTGGAATTTTAAGGTTTCTTTTCTTGTTTTGTTCAGTACTTTGACTCTCCTTTTTTATGAACTGTGCTATAAAAATAAACTTGCCTTGCCTTCTCCCAGCGTTCCCGTGGGGCTGGCAGGAGACGGGACCATGGAGCAGTGCGGGAAGCGGATCCGGAAGCCCTCACTGCTCTACGAGGACTTTGAGAGGCCGTTCTTGCCCCTGTCCACTCCCCAGAACCCCCCTGGCCCACCTCAGCCCCCCGTCAAGGACCCGAGCTGTGGGGGCCGCCTCACCAACCAGCTGCAGTACCTCCACCACGTGCTCACCAGGTTCCTGTGGAAGCACCAGTTTGCTTGGCCGTTCCGCGAGCCAGTGGACGCCTACAGACTCAAACTCCCGGTGAGAACTATTTTGACACGGACTTCTGTCTAACAATGCACTGTTTTAGCAAAATGTCTAAAGCACATCTCGACCAGCCCTACTTGGCTCTACTTTATTAAGCTTGACTCTACTGTACTTTGCTTTACTTTACTTTACTTGACCCCTGTTTAACCGGTACTTCAATCTGAAACCATTGGCCAGAGTGCTGCTAGAAGCCATGATTACCAATAAATTCCCTGGATACTGGTGTGTTGTGAGGATGTTGCTAGGATACGGTACCAGATCCTAAATCGAAGTGGAGACACAACCAGGTAGAGTAGAGCTGTTTAGGGCTGGTGGAAACAGGGCTTTATTGAGAATTTTCTGACCAACGCTACAATTGCGATGCATATTTGGATATATTTAAAAAGTCTAACAACTTAAGTGATAGGTTATCATACTTCTGAGCGCAGCGGTGTTTTTGCTGTACAGGTTACATTTGAAAAGAAAATAAACTTTGTACATAAATAGAACGCAGCTGAATGCAAGCCGCAGGTGTTTTGTAACCGAAACGGCATGAGACACTCTGAGGACGCTAATATCTTCATATTTGCGGTGCTCATCAAAATCTTGGTATTTGGTCCTGCAGGATCAAATACCATACCTTTACCACTTTTCCCAAAGGTATACCTTCATTTAATTGTGTCTGCAAAACTGCCAGTTGGTAAAATTTGAACCAAAAATGTATCTGTGGGAAAAAATATATAAAAAAATGATCATGAGGAAAACCATGAGGATGCACTGAGGATCTGGGTGAGCCTGGTTTATAAACTGCAGAGGGATGAGAACACACAGGAACCAGAACTTTTGTGTTTGTACTGGATTGACAAAGTGTCCCTTTCTTTGGACCAAATAAATAAAGTGCAATGTTTTCAGGATTACCACACCATCATCAAACAGCCCATGGACATGGGAACCATCAAGAAACGCCTGGAGAACCACTTCTACCATGAGGCTAGCGAGTGCATCCAGGACTTTAGCACCATGTTCACCAACTGCTACATCTACAACAAGGTAAATACACACACACACACACACACACACACACACACACACACACACACGTACACACATACACACACACACAGGTACTAATATTAACCTACACACTTGTTTATACTTTGTGTGTACAGCCCACTGATGACATAGTGCTCATGGCTCAGTCCCTGGAGAAGATCTTCCTGCAGAACGTGGCGGACATGCCTCAGGAGGAGGTGGAGCTGCCCACTCCTGTCCCTCGCAGTCGGAGCAGTGGTGGGAGGGGCCGGCGGGCTAACGGTGAGAGACACATGCTACAATCAGAATTAAAGTGTGCATAACCACCGTGCAACGCCCTGTTTCCACTAGCCCGACTTGGCCCTACTCTATTTTACTTACTCTATCTTACTCTATTCGGCTAGACTCTTAACTGATTGGGAGCGTTTCCACCGGCCTTGTTTAACCTGTACCAGGTTCTTCTTTAGTCCCCTCCCTTGTGCTATCCAGGCCGAGCTGGTTTAACTGACAGTGATTGGCCAAAGTGCTAATGGAAGCCATGGTCACTAAAGAATTTACCTGTGTACTGGTTTGTTGTGGGTCGGTTGCTTGGATACAGTACTAGATACTAAAGCGTAATGGAAATGCAACCAGGTAGAGCTGAGTAGGGTTATTGGAAAAGGGGCTTTAATGAGCCCCCCTTTGTAACTGGTGTAACCTTGTTTGTTCAGCCAGCAGAGCTCAGCAGGTGCCTGCCGTCTCACAATCAGCCTACTCCCCCTCTTCCTCCGACACAGGAGACTCCATGTTGGCTAACTCTCCCACCACAGTGCTCCCCAAAAGCCTCCCCCCAGCCCCCATCATCATGCCTCATCCACAGCCCAGCACCAAGGTACGTCACCTTCTGCCAACATCCGAGTAGCCTGCCTTTATCAAAGTCCTAAAGGGGCGTTCAGACCAGATAATGGGTATCGGTGACTTTCAATGCAAAGTCAATGCGCGGTAGAGGTACAGGAGCGGAAACTTGACACACGCAGGAGATGAACATCGCAGAACTTATTCCGCCGGTCGCACGTGCAGCGACCAATCAGAGAGCCGCAAAGTGGTCACGGGGACTTAAGCGGACATTAGCGGTCTAGCAAGCAGACAGAAGATACTCGTAAACAGCCAAAACAGGAGCTAAACAAGGACTAAAGCAGGATTGACAATGGGGGACACAGTGCTCGTGAACATGTATATGCCTCCAGCCTGAGTTCTCAACCTCCCATGACTGTAAACAAGGGCTGCTAACATGTTTGTTAATGTAGAGGTACTGTTTAATAATAAAATAAACTCATGGCGAACCTCCTTTAACACATACTGCTGTTATGGGAAGTCTCTGGAAGGTCGTGTAGTCAATAATTCCCTTTGACTAACGTGTTTCAAAATGGTTGCAGAAGTAAGGCAAACGATATTCAAGTTTAACATCTGCATTTAATTATCTTTACAATCAGATACAGAATGTTCAACAAAAGTGCTCCTATTCTCTGCCTGGTCTTTCCCTGTCCGTGCCCTGTCCTGTCTGACCTCAAAAAACACACACACACGGGCTCATGAGGGAGACTTCCGATGACGTCATCCTTATGCGTCCAAGGGTGGAGGTTTCCGGGTGTGCTGACGTCCCCTATCCACTGGGAGGCGTCAGAATGCAGTTGGTGAATCTCCCAGTCTGCCTCAAGATTGTCCTCGTCAAAATGTTTATTATTTAAAGTTAATAATTCGCCCTGTTTAAACAGCATTTTATCTTTATGACTCATGTCTGATTATCCTGTGTCCTTGGGGTTTTTCCTGAGTGCACAGAGGTCTTTCTGGCTATGATGTTCAAATGGTCAAATATTAAAATATACAACAGTCGCTGCAAAGACGCTGCAGAGCTGCATTCTTGGAGAAGAACTTTTCACAGAAAGCCGCTAGGTTAACGCCGTTAGCATCAAAGCCCGCCTGCCACTTTTTTTCCCACCGCAGGCCAGAATTTCTGGTCTGAAATTTGAGAATGTGCGTCCAGTGCGCGTGGAAGCTGCGTTCAAGCGTCGACGGTCTAAACGCCCCATAACCCTTGCATAGTCACTGATGCAAAAAGACAATGATGTGACATAAGTTCTGTCCTCTGTTCTCTCTCATCTGCCTTTTCTCCTATGTCCTCTTCTCTGCCCTCTTCTCTGTCCCTCTTCTCTGTCCTCTCCCCTCCGTCTCTGTGTCTTCTGTAGAAGAAGGGTGTGAAGCGTAAGGCCGACACCACCACCCCCTCCACCATGGGTCTGTCCGTGAGCCTCCCGCCAGAGCCACACATGGTGGGGCTGGGGAAGGGAGGGCACGTGGCCCGCGAGGGTCAGCACTCCTTCTCCCACCTGGAGTCTGCGTCAGGGATCAGCCCAGTCCTCATCCAGTCCATGCTGGGGGGTCCGGGCCGCAGGGTGGGCAGCGGTCGCCCCATTAAACCTCCGAAGAAGGACCTTCCAGACTCCATCCAGCCACAGACGTCCAGGAGGGGCAAACTGAGCTCTCAGCTGCGCTACTGCAGCTCTCTGCTGAAGGAGCTGCTGTCCAAGAAGCATGCGCTGTATGCCTGGCCCTTCTACAGCCCTGTGGATGCCACGGCGCTGCAGCTGCACGACTACCACGACATCATCAAGACCCCCATGGACCTCAGCACCATCAAGGTACATGACATAGAGACACTAGGACTCCCTGGGCAGTCTTTTTGACGGCTGGGAGCCGAGCATATGCTAACCGAGTTAACTGTAGAATTACTCGCATTTAAAAAATAACACAACTTTAGGAAGACCGAAAATGTTCATAAGTAGAGTGTTATGTACAGTGTTATGTCTAAAACAATAAGCTGTTAATGTGACTGCCCTGGGAGTTCTTTGAGGAAACCAGTGCAGAGAGCTGGGTCCAGGCCGTTACAGTCTGAGCTACTGTTACTGTCTCAGACGCAACATCTTTGGTAATCAAAGATCTAAAGCTGTTGGTTTGATGTGGCTCATATTTAAGTCTGAGTCCATTATTACTTTCCTGATTTGGAATTTTTGGACCCAGAATGCGAACCTTTGTTAAAGTCTTTCCGGCCAATGCCCTGGCTGGTCTCACCATGGACTGTTGTGTGTCCAGAGGAAGATGGAGTGTCGGGAGTACAGGGATGCGCAGCAGTTCTCCGCAGACATCAGGCTCATGTTCTCCAACTGTTACAAGTACAACCCTCCGGGACACGACGTGGTCAACATGGCTCGCAAGCTACAGGTCAGATTCACCAACTCTCTGTGTTCAAAATATGTGAGCAGTTAGAGCTGTGCAACACATGAAAGATGGAAAGATTAAATGTGAACCCATCTTCATTATTGGCTTATTTGTCCCCTCTGTCCTCCCTTCTTCTCTGTCCCTCTCTTCACTCTAACTCTCTCCTCTGTCCCTCTCTTTTCTCTGAATGCAATATAAATGTTGGTCGATTTAGATTATTGACGGGTGCGTTATAACACAGCTTCACCATATTCTGTGTGAAATAAAGACTGATATTATTGTACTATACTCTGTACATTACAGAAACACAATGAATACATTATTTGACCATGTGACCACTTGTAAACCATGTGCTCAGGATGTGTTCGAGTTCGCCTTCGCAAAGATCCCAGATGAGCCGGCACACCAGGAGTCAACGGCTACGTCCCTAAGCGCCGCTGCCTCCTCCTCCTCCTCTTCCTCCTCTTCATCCTCCTCCTCCTCCGAGAGTGAGCCCAGCACCGAGACCGAGGAGAGCGAGAGCAGCCCCAGTGAGGACAGTGAGGAGGAGCGGGCCCAGCGCCTGGCCCAGCTGCAGGACCAAGTCTGCACCCAGGTACTAACTAATGCTGATTCAAATATTACATTGCAATTAATCCCATATTTTTCCTTGGTCTAAATGTTTCTTGATTTGGTTTGAAAAGGGATTGGATGAAGCGAAAAGTTTATATTAATCCAATCCCCTACAAAAAGAAAGTATTTGGATTGTCCAATGCAGGCACTGTCGTTACAGTGTATATACATATTGAAATTCAGCTCTCAGCTCCAACACGGAGAGAACAGATGCAGACACGAAGCCAGTGGTGTTTTTCAACCACTGTGCCATATGATATTGTCTGGTGTGCCGTGAGAAATTCGCCTACTTTGTCCAATTAATAAATGCATCCACCGTTGGCGAGTGCTGACTTGTTTTGAACTGTGGAGTAACTACGTAATAGTTTTACATATCAGTAGGTGGCAGCAGAAAGCCAAGTACTTTAAAACGTAAGAATTAGAAGCAAGACCAGATGTAACAGGGAGCATTGCGGCTCGTGAGAAGCGAAAGTTATTAAGACATTTTTGAAAAAGAATTAAGCCATTTCTGAACGGGATTCACATCTTCCGCTCTGACCCCGGGGCAGCTGTGGCGGCGTTGTACTGACAGCTGCAGAGTATATATTTTTACATTTTCTCCTGGTGGTGTGCCGCAATATTTTTTCAATGAAAAAAGTGTGCCTTGGCTCAAAAAAGTTAGAAAAACGCTGCTCTAGACAACCTGCAGACTATTACACTTCACCTTAGGGAATTTGTACATTGGACAAATATTAGTCATATATTACACAGATCTGGTCTGTATTTGAGTGGTAAATATAAAATCCGTGTTGAATAAGAAGCAGGGAACAGATTCAATTATGTTTTTTTTCCCTCTGAAAATAAGCTTTAAAACATAGGTATAACATTCCGTAGTATCCCACTACCCTCAGTGCTGCAAGTTACTGTATTACTGATAATTGAAAAGGATTTCAGGGACCACTGAAAACTGTCTCGTGGGTTTGACATGCATGGTTTAGCTCTTTCCATTACCGTTTGTTCAACATCAAATGTCATGCTTGGCATAAATAAAAAAGCTCAATTTTGCTGTTGTGTCCACAGCTGCGAGCGGTGCACGAGCAGCTCGCCGCTTTGTCCCAGGGGCCCGCAGTTAAACCCAAACGGCGACGGGAGAAGAAGGAAAAACGCGACAGGAAGAAGAAGAAGAAAGGCAAGCGGAGCCGCGTGGGTCGCAGTCGAGCCGGCTCAGAGGAGTGGAAGATGCCCAACAAGAAGAGCCGCTCGGCAAGAGGCCAACCGAGCCACCGCAGCCAGCCCAAGAAGAGCCGCAGCAAGTGAGCCACGGTCCAGTCCCTGATGGAGACTGTGATAGACTGTATACAGATGGACAATGCTAACATAGACTGTATACAGATGGACAATGCTAACATAGACTGTATACAGATGGACAATGCTAACATAGACTGTATACAGATGGACAATGCTAACATAGACTGTATACAGATGGACAATGCTAACATAGACTGTATACAGATGAACAATGCTAACATAGACCGTATACTGATGAACAATGCTAACGTGTTAGTTAATAGGGAGATTTACTTCCTGTCTCTCTGATGACTTTTGTTCCTCGGCAACCCAGCAATGTGGGTAGGGACTGACTGCCGCAATGTTTTGTTCATGTTGCAGAAGCGTTCCAAAGAAGCCCGTGTTCTCCCCTGCACAGCCGTCTCCCGCCCCGCCACACTACGACTCAGAGGAGGAGGAGGATCTGGTACCTATGACCTACGACGAGAAGAGACAGCTCAGCCTGGACATAAACAAGTTGCCGGGGGAGAAGCTGGGGCGTGTGGTGCACATAATCCAGTCCAGAGAACCGGCTCTGCGCGACACCAACCCCGAGGAGATTGAGATTGACTTCGAGACGCTCAAACCCTCAACCCTCAAGGAGCTGGAGCGATACGTGCTTTCCTGTCTGAGGAAGAGGCCTCGCAAGCTCTCCCACGAAACCGGTCAGTCTCTATGGTCCCTGTCTCTAGTCTCTCTGGTATTACTGGTCTCTCGCTGGTCTCTCTTTCGCAGGTCTCTCTCTGCTCTTTCTGAAATCTCTGGTTCTCTGCTATCTCTCTCACATCGCTTTGGTCGCTCTCTGCTCTATCTCTCCGCTCTCTGGTATCCCTGGTCAATATACGTTTTTCATATCGGTTGATATAGAGATATATTGATTGTTTTTTTTAAACCCAAATAAATACATTTTGTTGTGTCTGCTTACAGACGGCTGTTTTTGAGTCTTGTGTCCCTGTGACAGCTCTATGCGGCTCTCTGATAGCCGTAAACGTGCTGCTTGCTTTTGGCGCATGCATCGAGTCGCCGTACCCGCTGCCTTTGCCGTGCCGCACATGCTTTTCCTCGCGCCGACGTGCATAACCATTGACATGGCATCGAAACACAATCTATATATCCATGGATGCTATGTGTGGTCCGTTATTTTGTTGTTGTTGTTGCATTTCCCAGAATGTTTTGCGGTTCATGCTAGGCCGTGATAGGTCGAGAAGCCTCTGCCCACATCCCCCAGAATGCCGCACGCTTCTGACTCTGCTTTACTTCCTTTGTTTTTTTCCTGTTTTTATTAACAGAGTGAAGTTAAACTATCAACATTCTCTCTGCCCCATTTGCTATTGATATCGAATACGTGTCTATCGCGATATATATATCGTTATCGTTTTTTCGCCCAGCCCTATGTTCTCCTCATTCCTATTTTTCCGTAACCCGTGGTGCAACACTGAAATTTCCCCACTGTGGGACGAACAAAGGATCTCTTAATCTTAAACTGTGGTGTGTATTTGTGAAGGGAAAAGCTCGAGTCTGGGGAAGTCTAAAGAAGAACTGACTCTGGAAAAGAGAAGAGAGCTGGAGCGCCGCCTGCAGGACGTCAGCGGGCAGCTCAACATCGTCAAGAAGCCCTCCAAGAGTAAAGGTAGCTCTCCCTCCAAGAGTAAAGGTAGCTCTCCCTCCAACTGTAAATGTAGACCTCGCTCCATATTTGTGTGGAGTGAGAGACAAATGTCCACAACAATTGTAAAGCATTTTGTGACTCTGGTCTGTGAACGGCGCTATATAAATAAAGATAACATACTAAGATCCTCTGAAAGAGTAAAGCTGGTCATACCTGAATGCGAAAGCCAGATCGCATGAGACCTCTGAAGCTGTGCAGGGCAGGGCGTGGTTAGTTCTGTGATGGGAGACTTCTGGGAAAACCAGGTGTCACAGTGGGGCGGCTGCGGCTGTAAAGTGCCAAACTGTCGTCGTGTCCTTAGGCAAGACACTTCACCCACTTTTGGTCTGGTGTGTGTGTGAATGGTTGGTGGTGGTGGGAAGGGCTGATGGCACGTACTGGTTGCATTGCTTCTGTCAGTGTGCCCCAGGGCAGCTGTGGCTTCCATAGTAGTTTATCATCTCCGTGTACGGAGAGAAATAATCTTTGAAGTTTCAGAAAAGAGATATATAAAACTGATTTATTATTGTTATTATTAAAGGTAGCTCCCCTCCAAGAGTAAGGTAGCTCTGCTGTGTGCTACTTCTGCTGCTGTGTGTCTCTGATCCTCCTGTGTGTGTTTCAGTGGAGAAGAGCTCAGCAGGAGAGCCTCAGCCTCAGGCGGCTCGTCTCAGCGGCAGCAGCTCCAGCTCAGACTCTTCGTCTTCGTCTTCAGCCTCGTCTTCCTCTGACAGCAGCGACTCTGACTCCGGCTGACACCTGCAGCTCTGAACTCAAACATGTCAACTCATGTTTCTTTTATAAAGAAGACTTTTGTAGGTCCCTTCAAGCCAAATGTCTGTGAATCTACACTGGGTGAGGGGACCTGGGACCAGGAGCCTGGGGCCTGGGGCCGCATGTGTGGAGGTGTAATGACTTATGTTATAAACACAAGTGTCACATGACCTGCTGCGTTCTCCACACGTGACACAAGTGGAAAGTGTAAAGTTCTCAGCTCTTTAACTTGAGATCCTTCCCTCCAACCCCCAGACACACACCTCCATGTGACGGAGACTTCTGGCAGTACTACAGTACTACTACTGTACTACAGTAATACAGTACTACAACAGTGCAGTACTGTAGTACAGCTGTACTCCATGTGGAGTACACAGTGGCTGTACTTATACAGAAGTACAGGAGTTCTTGGGTCCAGTTGGACATGACATGTGGACATATTAAGTCCTTGTCCTGTTCCGCAGCTTATTGTTGACTGAACTACTTTTGGATGTGTATCCAATTATTGTGTTATAAGTGTTACTGAAGTACTAATCTAGAGTGAGGGTCTCACTGTAGACTGAGGGCCTGAGGGTCTCTGAATCTGACTGAATGTTCTGTAAATACTAAGGTCTGGTGTTTTTATCCTAGTTGTGTTTGCTGCTGCTGCTTTTAACAGTTTCTTTTTTATTCTGCTGTTTAATAAACCTGCTGTTCTGTTCTGTATCCACGCTCCACACTGCTGAGGGAGGATGTGATTGGTCATTACTGCAGAGGAAGCATGCGATTGGTCCAGACCGATTCTTTGAAACAGTCCCACAGGAGACACAACCGCGTCACTACCAAGCCCCGTGTGTGTGGCTCTCATGCACGTGCATAAGAGGTTTGGCCGCGTTCTGACCAATCAGAGCTGCTGATCAGAGCAGAGCTAGAGCAGAGTTTGTTGCACTAAAGGGTAAAAAAAAAAAAAAAAAAGAATTAAACAAGAAATAAAGGGTCACTAACATCCCCACAAAATCAGACCTTTATGAAAGCTCCTACAGCTTTCATAAATGTCTGATTTTGTGAGGTCGAGCTGTTTTAGTTTACATTGAGTTCTATGGGACTTTTTTCTATTTAGCCCGCATGAATTTAGCCTGCAGTACCGCGGGTGCCCCCTGTGCCCATTGGTTGGACAGCTTTAAGCTAGTAATACCATAAACACCAATAATGGTATGACCACTTCACACCAATGTAAAAAGTATTTTACTCAAGTACTGCGTCCTACTTTTGCAGTGCGTCTACATTCATGAAAACTGACCTTATTAGCTTAATGCCATCTCTGCTTCAGCCACCAGAGGTCAGCAAACAACTTTAGACACATAAGGTCTCATCACTTAGAAATTTCAGAATTAATACAGGTAAGAACTGGTTGGCCATGTAAGTTACCAGGGGCGACCACATTATACAAATTATATTATACAAAAAATGTCTGCTCGGCTGAACACAAAACTATTATTTTCTCTTGGTGAGTATTTACCTGGTCCAAGGTAAGTTTAATTGTATAGCACAGTTCATGCACAAGGCTACTTAAAGTGCTTATCGAAACAAGAAAATAAACATTAAAATCATAATCGCAGTACTTTCTGACACAATGGCCTCTAACCCGATGAAATTTGGACAAAGAAAAAAACAGGTGTGGAAAAGTAGTATTTATTGTGTGAAGTGGAGAGCAGAAAGGAGTGCGCTCAGTCCCATCAGGTCTGCTCCGGTCATCACTGTGGGAGAAACAGGATTTTAGAACTTCTAAATCAAAGGCAAATCCTCACGACCAGGGGTCCGATTGTCTACAGCAGCCATTCCCAAACTCAGTAACACCGAGGCCCCCTTAAAAATCTGACGGGTCTGCGTGGCCCCCCAAAATAATAACCAAGAAGACAACATTAAGAATAGGCTCTTCTGGTTATTTTATTTTCGGGAAATAGCCTCTGCTACAAACATTGTAATACAAAAATGATTACAGTGGATTATTCAAGTCAAATAATGAACACAAATATTTTAATATTACAAACAAAACATTATAAATTTAACATTAAATAATTATATTATTTTTTTTATTTTTTTTATGACCTCCCGTGGCCCCCCTGCAGTACCCTCGCGGCCCACCAGGGGGCCGCGGACCCCACTTTGGGAGACACTGGTCTACAGTTTATTTAACAAGTATGAATGATATGGATGAAGCCCGCATGGCGACGTAAAGATGGTGCCGCCTCTGTCTGGTGCACACTGGGGTAGTCTTGCACAGTTTTTCCAATGTGGTTTTACTGCAAATGGCAAATAAATGAATCTGAATCTAAATCTGAAATTATAACATCTCCCTGCTCAAACCAGCTGCTCATGCATGGAGGCCCAGGAAATTACAGGAACTGAAGGCAACTTGTAGCTCAAAATAATCTCCAGTATGAAATAACAGGCGAGGGTTTTTTAACCATCATTATCTGAGCACACAAAGGCACTATTAGCCTGCCTTCATTTTGTTATGGTCTATAGTCTGTCTGGTCCCTTTCAGGTCTCTCTTGTCTCTGGTCTCTGGTCTATCTGCTGTCTCTCTCTGGTGTCTAGTCTATCTAGTCTGGTCTTTCTCTAGTCTCTGGACTCTTTTTGGTCTCTCTTGCTTTGTGTCTCTCTCTTAGGTCTCGCTCTCGTCTCTGGTATCTCTTTCTGGTCTATCTGCTCTCTCTGGTGTCTAGTCTCTGTTCTTTCTCTGATAATTATTTCTAGTCTCGGGTCTCTTTTTGGTCTCTCTAGTCTCTGGTCTCTCTCTCTCAGGTATCTTTGGTCTCTGGCCTTGTGTCGCTCTCTCAGGTGTCTTTGATCTCTATCTAGTCTCTTGGTCTTTCTCTGCTTGAATTATTTCTGGTCTCTTTATGATCTCTGATCTCTCTCTGGCCTTGTCTCTCTCAGGTCTCTTTGGTCTCTCTAGTCTCTGGTCTCTTTTTGGCCTCTGTCTGGCCTTGTGTCTCTCTCTCAGGTCTCTTTGGTCTTTCTCTCTAGTCTCTGATCTCTATTTGGTTTCTCTCTGACTTCGTGTCTCTTCTCTCTCTGGTTCTCTTCTGACCTGCTGGCTCTTATCGCAGCAGTGGAAGCGCACGTCGTTGAGCGTGGAGTCGTCCAGCCCCCACTGGTACTCCTCCATCTTGGTCTCCAGGCCACAGATGCCTCCGCGGCCGCAGTCCTGGCTCCAGTGGCCGTAGTTGCCCCACTCCATCCCGGCTCCCTCCAGCATGGGGTGGCTGCTGCAGCGGAACTTGATGTTGTTGACGGCGGTGTCGTCCCCGAACAGGTCCTGGTGAGGCTCCACACGCAGCTGGAAGGAGGTCAGCACGCCGCTCGGACAGTACTGAGGCGGGGACCAGTCTCCGAAGCTGATCAGCACGACAAGGCATTTAAAGCTCAGGTACCTAATTCAATTCAATTCATTCTTTATTAAGAACACAGGTAGAACTGGTTCATAGATTAAAAAATAATAATAATAAAGAGACAAAAAACATATGTATACAGTAAAATTATAAACTTAACTTTTCTCTTTCATAAATACACCAGCTCCTCATGAGACCAGATAGAGCAAAGTTCATAGAGAGTGCAGAGAGTGAGACTAGAGAAAAGAGAGTCCAGAGAGGGCAAAGTTAATAAAGAGACTCTATATCAGGGGTCTCCAACCTGTGGCTCGAGAGCTACTGGTAGCTCGCCAAAGGATTTAGAATTTAACAAATGATCTTTAATGAATCCAGTTTGAGTCATTACATATCCATTATAAGTAACAAAAATAGGGTTATACAGTAATAACAGTATGTGTTCTCCATGTGTGTTCTCTCTTGTCGTTATTTTTACATACATTTTTATTATGACTGCAAAAAGAAATTGCTCTCTGCCTCTTCTGTTGTATAAATGTAGCTCTCTGATTGGAAAAGGTTGGAGACCCCTGCTCTAGATCATTCAAAATGAGACTCACAATCCGGTGTGAGACTCCACCGTGTACAAGAAGTTGCGGGTGTCGTCTTTTGCGCAGATGAGCCGCACGCCGTTCAGAGCCGTGTCGTCAGCGCCGTACTGATTCGACTCCACCTGCATCATACACACAAATACACTGCAATAATAATAATAATAATTAGTGATGCATCGGTTTTATACAACTGGTCTTTCTCTCTGATCTCACTCTCTCTCCGGCCTATCTCTCAGGTCTGTCTCTCCGGTCTCTCTTTCTCTGGGTCTGTCTCTCCGGCCTCTCTCTCCGGCCTCTCTCTCAGGTCTCTCGCTCTCTGGTCTGTCTCTCCGGTCTCTCTCTGATCTTTCTCTGGTCTTTCTCTGGTCTCTCTTTGGTCTATCTACTCTCTTTCTCTCTCTGGTCTCTAAAATTAGTTCTATACAATGGTTGATCGAAGACACTTAACAGCATAACTAATTAACTTCATTCACGGACTGAACTACTGTAGCCGCAGCTGCCCTGAAGCACACCGACATAAGCGAGGCAACCGGTCTGTGCCATCGGCCCCTTCCACCACCCCTAACCCTAACCACACACTTATGTATATTATCCTTTGCCTCTGTTACAACTCACCATAGTTACAGTGGTCTGTAGGATGTGCACTGTTTTTCAATCAGTGGTCCATGGCAAAAGAATATCAGAAAGACTATTTTGTTATAAAGCTTTTTTCATAAAGGCTGCAGAGTTTCAAGTTGGCACCAGTTTCAGCTGGTGGTGTGTCATGAGAAAAAAGCTCTGTGGACACAACCAGGACCAAAAGTGAAGGCTTCGTTCCACCACCACCACTCACAGCCACTGGGTCAATACATGGTCAAATAACATAAGATCAACTTTATCTCACAATGGAGAAATAGGTAGAATCACTCAGATTGTGCTAAAGACTGAAGTGTGCAAACATGTTAAAGTTAAAATTATAGTCTATGCACACAACACGTGATAAGACACTAGCCCCCTCCTGTCCCCTGTCTTGACAGCACAGCTTCAGTATGTGAGATCACATTATCCATCACTGCCATGATTACTACTTCATTTTGTCCTGTAAAAGCAAAATGTTGTCTCCATCTTATGTATATTATCTTTTGCAGAAATCTTAGGACTGAGATCTGATTGGCTGTCTTTTTAACTTTTCTGTCTGAAAAAGCTGATTATAAGATGTGACAGAGGCCATAAATGCAAATAAATAAATTGTGATAGAAGAAACTGAAAATAAACTGTTTAAGGGCTAGGAACTACATAAGCCCCATCTCCACCAGCACCAGCCCTACTCCACTCTACTACACACTGCCCGATTAGGAGTGTGTCCACTGGTCCTGTTTAACCAGTACTAGGTCCTCCTTTAGTCCCTCTTGGCCCTAGTTCAGGCTGAGCTGGTTCTAAAGTGTTCTAGCTGACAGTGATTGGCCAGAGTGCTTCTGGAAGACATAGTTACCAAGGAGTTTCCCTGAATACAGTTTTTTTGTGGTCAGTTGTTAGCATATGTTGGTGTGTGTTTTTGTTGTTTTTTAACTTGCACCACCCGAAGCACCCCAGCTCCCCACGTGACAATAATAAGAACGCCTGTGCCTTAAGTACAAAAGGGGATGGGGGGTCAAGGAGGAAGCCGGAGACCAAGACACGGCCAGACGCGGCGAGGGGAAAGCCAAGTGGTCTGACGGCCCAGCCCGTGGCCAATAGAAAGTTCTTAGCCTATTTTAGCCTCTGTTTTTAGCCTAGGTTTCATTGCTTTTTATTATTTAATTGTTTTTTTTTATGTATTTTATAATACATCTTTTTAACTTGCTTTTTAATCCTCCTCTCTTTTAAAACCGGGTCTGAAGCACCTGTTCCCACATACACACACATACAGTAACAGATTCCAGTGTAATGGAAACGATTCATTTTCATTTTTATACCAGCAGTTATCACTGAGGACTTTAGAAAGCTGTCAATTCGCCAACACAGATCAGAGAATCAAATCATTCAAAATAGGGAATGCAATGATTAATAAAAAACACATAAGGGACAGATGACCAATGTCCATAAATGTTGTTGAATGTCAAATGTCTTGGATCATCACCACTGTCCTTAGACCCTCCTGGACACACGGTTCCGTCCTTACCCTGACGCTGAACCCCACAGCGAAGAAGTTTTCGGGGCACATCTCGGGCCAGGTCCAGTTGCCGAACTGCTCTCCGTTGGTGACCGTGAGCATGGACTGGTAGCTACGGCTGTTGAAGGCCTGTCCTGCCCGCTGGAGGAAGACCTTACCCTGGACCTGTCCCGACCCCAGCAGGGCCAGGACCAGGAGGGTCACAGCACACTCAAAAGACATGATGAAGCGAGGAGATGCGAAATCACACACAAACACACAAAACCACACACTGGACACAACCATGAATTTAAGGAAAACGGCTTATCAGGGTGAATCATTTACAGAGTGCACAGCTGCAGAGGGCGAGAACGTTCTCTGGTAAATATAGATGGTCAGAAACTGCAGTATCTGGAAGCTGAAGAGAACGGGCCTATTCTGGAGTTGGGCTGAAACTTTACACATACTATTGTTCATGACTTTTGAAATAATGTATTTATTTGTTTATATGAATGGATGTGTCTCTGCTGCTGGACACTTGAATTTCTCCTACAGGGATCAATAAAGTATCAATCTATCTAACTACAGATCACAGCAGCAGTTGTCCCAGAAGACTTAACTTTCTGGACCAGTGTCCAGAAATGTATTAACACCGTCGAAACTCTTCTTTTTAATCAACCATTCCCAGAGAGTGCAAGAAACACAATTTAACACTTGGTTTGTGGCTGAGAATGACGGAAATGTTATGTTCGCACACTGCAGCTGCATGGCTGGCCTTAATGAAGCTTATTCCCATGTTGGAGCACTGTTGTTTGCAGTAGAAGCCGCGGTGCGGAGGGTTCAGTTCCCTGTGCCCAGGAGAAGAGCAAGTGGGTCATGCCAACCTGTGTCAAACAAGTGCCCTATATTCTTAATAGTTCTACGAATAGGTGCGTAATCCCTTAGCGGACTTCGCTAGTGGGATATCACGTGACCCCCAGGTCACACGCCAGAGAGATCAAAATAATTTGCTCCAATCACCAGCCACCCTCCTCTATAAAGGCCCCTGCACAAGGCCGCACCCCCTCTTGAACTCTGCCAAGCCGGGCTGGCCTGATGGGCTCGTAGCTAAGGGACTACGCACCTATTCGTAGAACTTAAGTTACATTAGGTAACTATTAATTCTACGTCATGGTGCTACGTCCCTTAGGACTTCGCTAGTGGGACACAACGCGGAGGCCGTAGGAACATGTACTCCCAGCAGGCCAGCGAAGAGTGATTGGAGCCCTGTCCGAGCAAGACCCTCACACAGTGAGAGGACTCAGGGCAGAAACCAAATCCAAGTGTGTTACGGGGCCGCTCCTCCCAAGGACACCCCCAAGTAACACCGACCAAAAGTCACCCGTAGTCCCAGGACGCTGGGACGCTTCTGACGTGGACTACCCAACTGACCAACACCCCTAACACCGCACCTACAGGACGCCTCTCCCAAGAGCTCCTGAACTAGGGCGGAAGGGCAAACCGTAATCTCATAGACGAAGAACCCATGATTCCAATCAGTCCGCTGCACCAAGCACGGAATGAGCCACCGACCGGTCCGACACATCCAACAAGTAAGACCGGACAAAGAAAGAGGACGAAGCCCAAGAAGCCGCACGCCAAACGTCCTCCACCGAAGCCCCCCTAAGGAGGGCCGTAGAAGCCGCCACTCCACGCGTGGAGTGCGCCCTAAAACCCACCGGGGGCGTCAGGCCCTGAGCTTGATACGCCATCCGTACAGCCGAAGCGACCCAGTGTGCCAGACGTTGAGACGACAGCGGGGCGCCTCTGTTCTTGGGGCCCAGACACACAAACAGCTGATCCACCAGTCTGAAGGAAGATGTCAAGGTCAGGTAACGCCTAAGCATTCTGACAGGACACAGAAGGTGCCGTCGCTCCTCCTCGGGGGAGGCCCAAGACCATTAAGACATTTAAAGACCATTAAAAGAACCTTAAAATCGATCCTGAAACACACGGGGAGCCAATAATTTTAAAACCGGTGTAATGTGGTCCCGCCCCCTGGTCTTAGTCAGGCACAGCCCCCTGGTCTTAGTCAGGACACGCCCCCTGGTCTTAGTCAGGACACGCCCCCTGGTCTTAGTCAGGACACGCCCCCTGGTCTTAGTCAGGACACGTGCGGCCGAGTTTTGAAGTAATTGTAAACCTGAAATGTTCTTTTTGGGAAGACCAGAGAGCAGGGCATTACAGTAGTCAATGCGACTGGTGATAAAAGCCTCAGCGTCTCTGTGTTGCCCCGAGAGAGAATGGGGCGGACTCTGGCGATGTTCTTTAAATGATAAAAAACCTATTTTTGTGATATTCTTGATGTGAGGAACAAAAGTCAGCTCAGAGTCAAAAATTACGCCCAGGTTTTTCACTTGTGGTTATGGATTGAAAGAGTGTGATTGGAGTTTTGGTAAAAGTTTCTCTCTCTGGGCCTCAGGACCGATGACTAAAACCTCAGTTTTGTCCTGGTTGAGCTGGAGAAAGTTTTCTGCCATCCAGGATTTCAGGTCTAAAATGCAGTTAAAAAGAGCATCCATTGGCCTGGTGTCGTCAGGAGACATGGAGATGTACAGCTGTGTATCATCTGCATAACTGTGGAAGTCCAAAACTGTGAGGGGGGGGTGGACTGTTTCAACAATGAAGAAGTGCTCACGGAAACAGCTTTAGACACATCTGGAACGATATCCAGGGTTTAATAGTTTTAAGTTGAATCAGAAAGAAACATGAGAACTAGTTTGAAAGGTATGTTTCTGGTTTAGCTTTGGATGATGAAATAAAAGTACATAGAGTTCTATGCAGTTCTTTTTTGAAACTTAGTGTCATGTATTTCCTTGTAAAAATATTCCGTCTCCAGATCTGCGATCGTCTTCAGTCTGAAGAAATATTTGTCAACGAAATTGATGCACTTTTAATACATTTTGGACTATTGCTCATAGGTCTCTCTCTCTCTCTCTGGTCTCTCTCGCTCTATTCTCTCTGGTCTCTCTCTGTTGTCTTTACCACTGTCTGATCTACTGTTGGCGAATCCACAGCATTAGTAAAGTCCTCCAAGACGACAGCTGTTGTGATTTAGGGTGATGCACAAATACATAGAATTGAACGTTAATATTTAACATGAATCAAAGCTGTATGCAGTCCTGGGCTCGCAGAAGAGCTCCAGTGATCCTGGACTGCAGCTGGGGCGGCTCCCAAGGCTCAGCTGGAGCAGAGCAGACCAGGTCACTGCGTCCTGTCACCACTGCACTCGAGCAGAACGCAACAGTCTGGAGAAAACACTGAAATAAACCCGGTGTTTTCAGAGCATTCACTGCCTTTTGTGTAACGACAGACCAGTGGCTCCCAACCTTTGTGCCCTGTGTTAGATTTATCCTGTTGTTTTTTTTTATGTAGGAATTGTAGTTCACCTTCTGTGGCCTCACTGTTTGGCAAATGTAGCTTTATTTATTTTGTTAGTGTTTTTTTTTTTTTACAGAGTGATTCTCATTCACGTGTTCATACTCAAACACCATCATAATACCGCTAGTAACATGACAGTTACCTTAAAAGTCTCTGGTCTTTCCATCTGGTCTGTCTTTCTTCTGTCTGTCGCACCATTTTTATACAGTGTATGATCTAACTGCTTTTGAATCTAATAATTTTGTTTTGTTTATTTTTTTTAAGATGACAGGGACAGTGTAAAATAACCTCAAAGAGAAAGATGTATTGTCCCAGATCATAGCTCAAGCTAATTTACACCTGTAGTCCCTGGGCAGGCTGATGTTATGATTTTTATACTGAACCTACAGCCTCAGTCCTGGATCTACAGCCTCAGTCCAGAACCTACAGCCTCAGTCCTGGATCTACAGCCTCAGTCCAGAACCTACAGCCTCAGTCCTGGATCTACAGCCTCAGTCCTGGATCTACAGCCTCAGTCCTGGATCTACAGCCTCAGTCCTGGATCTACAGCCTCAGTCCTGGATCTACAGCCTCAGTCCTGGATCTACAGCCTCAGTCCTGGATCTACAGCCTCAGTCCTGGATCTACAGCCTCAGTCCTGAACCTACAGCCTCAGTCCTGGATCTACAGCCTCAGTCCTGGATCTACAGCCTCAGTCCTGAACCTACAGCCTCAGTCCTGGATCTACAGCCTCAGTCCTGAACCTACAGCTGTAAAACAGCTGCAGTACATTCAAAATGCAGCAGCTCGAGTCCTGACAAGAACCAGGAAGTACGACCACATTAGTCCAGTCCTCAGGTCTCTGCACTGGCTTCCTGTGGCTCAGAGAATAGACTTTAAAACAGCTCTGCTTGTTACAAGTCTCTCCATAGCCTCGCACCAAAATATATTAGTGACATGTTAGTCCCATATGAACCAGCCCGGACTCTGAGGAGCACAGGGACTGGACTCCTGCTGGGACTCTGAGGAGCACAGGGACTGGACTCCTGTTAGTGCCCAGAGTCAGAACTAAACATGGGGAGGCTGCTTTTCAGATTAATGCTGCTAAAATCTGGAACAGTCTTCCTGAAGATGTGAGACAGGCCTCCTCTCTGACAATGTTTAAAACCAGGTTAAAGACGGTTCTGTTTAACTGTGCATACAACTGAGGGATTTTATATTTTTATCTTTCTTTTTAATGTTCTGTGATAATTTATGATTTTAATGCTTTCTTGTTTTGTTCAGCACTTTGAATTGCCTTGTGTATGAATTGTGCTATATAAATAAACTTGCCTTGCCTTGCCTTACAGCCTCAGTCCTGGATCTACAGCCTCAGTCCAGGACCTACAGCCTCAGTCCTGGATCTACAGCCTCAGTCCTGAACCTACAGCCTCAGCCCTGAACCTACAGCCTCAGTCCTGGATCTACAGCCTCAGTCCTGGATCTACAGCCTCAGTCCTGGTTCTACAGCCTCAGTCCTGGATCTACAGCCTCAGTCCTGGATCTACAGCCTCAGTCCTGGATCTACAGCCTCAGTCCTGGATCTACAGCCTCAGTCCTGGATCTACAGCCTCAGTCCTGGATCTACAGCCTCAGTCCTGGTTCTACAGCCTCAGTCCTGGATCTACAGCCTCAGTCCTGGATCTACAGCCTCAGTCCTGGATCTACAGCCTCAGTCCTGGATCTACAGCATGTCTGTCATCCATGGGAGCAGATCTCTCTCTAAATATGAGTCTGCCCGAGATTTTACTTTATTCCACAGGGTTTTTGAGGTGTTCCTTGCCGAGGCAGTAGAGACTAAAGAG